AAGATAGATATACACATCAACTATATCTATATATTTACTATTATTTGTGTGCGGATCCATCTGGGTGTTGGATGCATAAACCTAAACTTAAAGTTAATTAAGAGATTTTTAATTGAATCTCTAACGTCATTTACAAGTCCAAAGAAGAGGACACCTTATGATTAAAGATGAATCAATACCCAAAAGAACCAAGATGTAATATAGCTTTGGTGTCTATTACGAGTGTTTTGGAAGTATGAAATTTTTGGTAAAACAATTTAACGTACGACAATTACTTGTTAATCTTGTACGTACAATTAAGTTTACAGTGTGGATAACCAAAAGGAACCATGACTAACTCAGATTTGTTCTAACGTATAGAGTAGTCCATGTGTTAAGAACGGTCTCAACCTTACTTGAATAAACAACATGTGGAAAACACTCGGAGTATCTCAATTACAGTTGAGATACGAAAGAAAATAAGACTTAACCATTATATCAATCTCGAAAGAAGTAGGATATTAAAAGAGTGGAACACAGACATAGCTGTTAATTTAGTTTAAGAGAATGAACATGGGGTAAGCTAGAGAGGGATTAATGTTATATGAATATAATAAGAGGGTGTTAGGGCTTTATCAAAAGGGTTAAGCAAGATTAATCATATGGATGGAACGTCTGTGCTTTCCTTGCTTTTTGGTTAAGATATGAACATCTTCTTGTTTACTTGAAAATCCCTCTGTCGTGGCCTCTAATTCTCACGTCTAACACCACCTAAATTTTAAATTTGCCAAATTATCCAAATAAATTACAAAGTAAAAAGAAGGTTGTAGTTAATCAATAATCGGTTACGCATGCATTCGAAGGAAAATAATTATTGGTTAACTAATCATGTACAATATTTCCAAATCAAGCATTTCTAAGTTAAACAAGGTTTCCTTGTAAATTGAAAAGTTGATAAAGAAGGCCAAATACTTTTCTTTTCATATATTGTCCCATATGTTTTTACCAGAAGTGTTTCGTTAAAATTCTATTCTTTTTTTTTGTTAAGAAGATATGTTTATTTAAATAATAATAATAATAATAATAATAATAATAATAATAATAATAATAATAATTTTATTAATAAAGTGGGAGGATTTGAAACTATCAGAATAGTAAATGGGTGAGGGAAGTTTCAAAGACGGAGCCGACGAATAGAAATCTAACATTTTATCCACTAGGATATTGAACCAAATGCAAGTTAAATTTATGATATGCTAATATTTAGGAATACCACCACAACCAAAAAGGAATACTTTAATGTTTTTTTTCCCCTAAAAAAAATGCCTATTAAGACTCGTTTAATTTGATATCACCATAACATAAAGGTGCGATTGGTAAAGTGAAATCAAATTAAATGGGTCTTAATGGCTATCCATTAACAACCTGATAAGTTGATTCACCACCTCTACATCATATCACTCAACTTAAGTATGGAACTACTTATTGGCCAGAAAATAGTAATGATACTAATTTTAGTGTCTAGTAATGGCAATTGCTTTTTATTATTTTTTTATACAAGCGATATATATTCTACTTTAAATTTATCTAACTTACGAAAAAAATTAAAATTTGAATTTTACTCTATCAAATTTGATTAAATTTAATGGTTTGTTTGATAAGTGCTTTTAAATGACCAAAAGCACTTTTAAAAACGCTTGTAGAGAAAATATTTTTTAAACCAATCTTTAGTAAAAATGCAAGTTAATCCTCTAAAAGCACTTTCATTTTCTCTAAAAGCATTTTCATTTATTTAAAAACACTTATCAAACAAGTCCTAATTAAATCTATATTTTTTTTTGTTGTTATTAGTACAAAAAAGGTCTATAGTTCGAAAAGGAAAACAAATAGTGTTGTTGTGTGTATGAAAGGAAGAACTCTAGCATTTTTCCCCAAGAAAGTAAGTAATCTACCATTGAATTGAAGCTACGACTTTTTACATATACATACGGGGGATTCTTAATTTTAGGTAAAAATAGAGACTAGTTGTAAGGCTTCCTCCACGTCAAATTTCAACGATTTGAACCATCTATTTTGTAAGTCTCGATTTATAGATCATCCTTGCAAAAATGTATTTTAATCCGAAACCATTTGCCTATATAATTATATCAGTGAAATTTCCTTGTTTCTTATAGAACAAAATGTTTATCAACTTCTTTGAACTCAAGATGTCTCAAATATTTTCGATTTGGCTAATATTTTGTATGGATGATCTATGAGGTCCAACTTGAAAAATAGGTTCAGATTGTTGAAGTTTGATGTGGTGTGGGTCCCACAACTACTCCCCATTTAAAAAAAATGGGGATCCCTTCCGTCAAAGGCCTCCTATATACATATATGATAGTGCTATTTACACATCTATTTTTATCTCTTACACACTCTTGTTAATTTTTTATCATTGATCTTCTTCAATTCATTCGATTCGATGCCTGAAAATTAAAAAAAGTATGTGTAAAATAAAAATAGGTCTATGGATAGCACAACTTTATATATATTGCTTAATGGAAGAGGAAAAAGTACAAGGAAACACATGAAAAACTCTTTAGAACCAAGAAAATTAAACTTATATTTAATTTAACCCTTCAACTTTTTTTCAATTTTGATTTAAGTAAGTAATTTTCTACACCAAAGACAAAGGAGACAGATTTGAACTTCGAAAGTAATGGATTAAAAAAAAAAAAAAAAACCTTAATCGTCAAAGCAATCTACCACTCGCCCACTCCTTTTATTACTCATTCTTCTTCATTTCTAATTCTTATTACACTCGAGTTTCATATTCCTCCATAAATCTCGCTTGTATTCTATTTTTTATTTTAATTCATGCCATATGAAAATAAAATAATTCAAGGCAAAGAATTAATAGGCGTTAAGAAACGGCGTCAATGCCGACGAGGCACCGCGCATATAAAAGCAACAGAAAACACACTATGCTTTGAAAACGTAACAGCTCGATAAGGCGAGGTCCATGTATACAGAGGCACAGAGGCTCACAGACACACAGAGCGAAATCCTCCTACATCTTCAGACTTCGGACCAAAACTGTGAGTTAATTACCATCCTTGCCACCTTCTCTTCCATCCCTGCTCTCGATCTGCTAGAAATGCGCGTCCATGAAATGCAGTATCGATTTGTGCAATGTCGTTTCATTTGATCTGTTTTTCGTTTTGTATCTTCGGCATTTGGTTTTATTTTTGCTGATTATGTATGAAAACCCAGATTTTGAAATCTGCGTTTTACACTTGTTTGGTTCACTTAGATCTCTGTTTGGTTGCTGAGAAAATGCAGCTGGGAAAATACACGATTTTTTTTCGAATTTTGGTGTTTTTATATTATCTGGGGAATGAGAATGCAAGAACCCATATTCCAATTTCCAATGTGGTTAACTGGTTATTATAATTTAACACAGTTGAGGTGAAATGGGTTTGCTTGATACCCTTTTTTATGTGTGTTTGAAAGAAAATGTCTGTTTTTATATGCAAAGTAAGTTATTTACCCAGCCAAAGCTAATCAATGTATTGTGTTTGGTGTTTTTCCCCTAATTAAGCATGATTATCCTAATTTTGTTTAGTCAATTATGAAAATACCCCGACAACCGTAAGTTTTATACAAAAAACACTTCCAATAGCTCAATTGGAGAAAAAAAAATCCCCATTTTGTCATCCTCTATTTGATTCTATCCCCATTTTGTCATCCTCTATTTGATTCTTACTTGTAAAATCCCCCCTTATTACCAAGTTAGTCAATTGGGCTTTTTTTCTAAAGTATCGCATTTGAAGTGTTTTTATTTAAAGTGTAATGTTTCCAAGTGCTTACATGTAAAAAGCCCCTCTCTTTTTATTGCATATGCTCTTTTGGTGTTTGTTTAGTAGATATATTTGTCTGTATTTAATCCAACATATTAGTTGTGAAATCGTTTGAATTTTGAATTCAAGCTTAGTATTCAAATTGGTCCACTATTCCTCTGTTTCCATAAAATTTGAAAGTGAAGTAAATGAGTGACTTTGTTTACTGGAGCGATTCTATATTTGGTAAACATTTTTTATTGGTTCACTTTCTGCTTTTCTATCATACACATATACTCATGTCCCAGAATTGCCTTTTACCGCGATTTAAGTTTAGTACAGAGTGATTCTCCTTTGCTTTGTAAAACCTTGCCATTTCTTCGATTTTTTGTCTTTGGCAATGTCTCAGGGTGTGTTGGGGACATCATAGAAATTATGGATTGAGCACACCTACCTATTTTTTATGTTTCATTTTGTTCTTCCCCTTCTCTGTCTTCACATCTATGGTGGCAAAGCAAATGATTCTGTCTCTTGCTACTTTATGTTTAATAATTAACATCTCTTTTCATACTTACTAGACCCATCATACTCCCGAAGGGAATGATGACTTTCTGAATAGTTCGTATGCTTTATCATCTTTTCTCACTTGCTCATTGTTTGTCAATTGTCATCTTCCTTTGATAGTACAGGGTAATTTTCATCTATCTGCAGAAAAATTAGTATACAAATCTTTCCTCATGGAAGAAGGGTGGTTTCATCTGTCTTTTAGAATCCAAATCTTAATGATTTAATGATGCTTACACATGTTGAGTATTTAAAACTCAAATCACGTCACATTTTTGTTATATTTGCCCACACGAGTTGTTCTGGAATTGCTTTATATTTCTTTAAAACATTACATTGTAACTTGTAAAATACTATCACTCTTGCATCTTCTTTTGTTCCCCTCTCTCCTTCATTTTCTTCTTTTTGGTCAGGAAAAGAAAATCTTTTTTATTTTCTAATAGCAGCATATCCTGAAGGATGGTACAAACATGAATTAAAAATATGGTTGGGCATTTTTGTGAGTTAAATATATTCACACTATTTACGGAGTTTGTAAGCAGCAAATCATGACCAAATTTTTTTTATTTTTGTAAATAATGAGAGGTGCAAACATGTTTGCAGATAAACCTATAATGATATTGATACAATTGTGATGCTTTTTCTGTATTGCAAGTGTAATGGGGATAGAAGTTACAGATATCTGCATGGACAAGGAATCAGAATGTGTCACAAATTACTCAGAAGGTCTTTCTCATGATTCAAATCATGAGAGAATCCCCAGTGATCACGTGATTTCAGAGTCATATGAGCATATTAATGGGGATCGTGAACAACAAAATTTGGAAGAAAGTCTTGAAGTAAAGGAGTATGAAGTGAAAGAATGTACTACAGAAAACTCTGTTGATGTTTCTCAACTGAGTCTTATTGAAAAATTTAGTGAGGATCAGAATGTAGTAAGGTCGAACTCTGATAATGACCAGCCTTTGAATAAGGTTCAACTGGATTCTGGGAAAACAAAGGTTAGTAGTAAGTCACTAGCATCTGCAAAACGTGTATCTAAACCTGCTGCGGGAAATGCTAGAACAAAACACACTGTTCCACAGCCATTTACCTTAGCGACTGAAAAGCGTGCTTCATGTGGAACTCGTCCAGTCAGTGCTGTACTTAATGGTGCCAATAAATTACCCAACACAAGTGATCTGCGTCATCTTAATACCACAAAGCATAACCAGGTAGCTCCTGTCAACTAAGCCTAGATGCATCTAATGTAGTTTGTTTTAAATCCCCTATGTATCCATTGTTTCTTTTTTATTCTATTGACATATGACAAAAACATTTGTCATGATTTTCCTTGACTTCCTTTCATGCATTATCTTTGTTGGAGTCGTAGAAGTTTGTGATGACATTTATATCTATGCAGCCAATATCAACTTTGGTACCAAGGATGCCAATGCAACCAGATAAGAAGAAGCATTCTGATGAGGAAGATTCCTGTTCTGTTGCTTCCACGTATCCTACAACATTTTGAAGTCCTAGCTTGATTCATGTCTTTTATCTTCTTCCTACTATGACTTCTTATCAGGATTTGAATTCTATTCCTTGAACATGCATAGCACAGTAGCATCTGCACGAACTACTAGGTCAAGAGCAATTGTTGCATCAGCTCCAACGTTTAGATGCACTGAGCGTGCGGAGAAAAGGAAGGAGGTAGTGCCTTCACAGTTTTTTATTATGTGTAGTTAATTTAATCAGTCCTGATGAGTAGATCCCTAAGCATAACTATGTACCCTTATTATTGTTGCCATATCTAGTTTTATTCAAGGTTAGAGGAGAAGCACCAAGCATTGGAGGTGCAAAAAACTGAAAGCGATGCAAGGACCAAGGTTTTACTCTCTCTCTCTCTCTCTCTCTCTCTCTCTCTCACACACACACACACACACACACACCACACACACACACACACACACACACACACACACACACACAGAGGCACACACACCATTGAATAGATGTTGTTTGTTGTTCCATTGTGTCTTGCCTTCTTTTAATATGGTCATGTTTTTGAGTTCAACTTGGTCATTCTTACCTGATTTTGCTTTACCTTTGGCTGCTTCATAATCTTGGAATTCAAGGAAGAGAAGGAGGCGGCTATCAAGCAACTGAGAAAGAGTTTAACATTTAAGGCAAACCCGATGCCAAGCTTCTATCACGAGGGACCTCCACCTAAAACTGAACTTAAAAAGGTTATACAGAGACTTTATCTGGTTCTACCCTGTATGAGATTCTGATATGCTATTTGAAACCACAGATTCTGATGGTTAGCATAGATAATAGTATTACATTGTAGGGGAAGTGTGACAACTAGATTAATATTTTTATGTGTGTAAATGACAGCTTAAGTTTGTTAATTTTTTCCCTTGTCTCTATGCCAGCTGCCACCAACTCGTGCAAAGTCACCAAAGCTTGGCCGGAGGATGAGCTGCAGTGAAACAGGTCAAAGTATCTCGAGGAGACAGAATGAAAGGAAATCGTCACAGTATGGGTAGTTACAAAAAAGACACCACTTATGCTGGTTCCCTGAAAAGTGAGGGTCAGATCAACATCCAAAATGGTAATGCCGTTTGCGAGTTCATTGATGAGACAAAGAAAGTGGACGAGATAAACAAGTTTGTTCCGGCAAACCTAAATGGACAGCACATGGACATGTATGTTCAATCTTGATTTTCTGGTGAGTGTCGTAATTTACAAGAGGAAACGAGTCTTCACTTTCTGTCTCAATCTTGTGACTTGCTCTGAAGTATGTGCATGTTTTGTTTCTGTAACTTGCAGTGACTTGTTGCATTGTTTGTGTGTAATTTATGAACTGTACACATCTTCTGTAATTTATATCCACTCGTGTATATGAAGAGTTATTTATTCACCAAGAATACTGCTTGTACTCTTGTCTGAATAATCTAATTATGTTGGAGATCAACCTGCTTTCGTATGCAACTGGTTTTGAAAACAATAATAGTGCGTCGCCATAGACTTTTTTCTTTAAATATGTAGTCTGCGCCTTTTGTTTTGTTCCCACTAGATAGAAAATCAAACAGAAATTTTATTGGCGGGGTCAATATACTTATGTGGTTAGGATTCTACCTGACGGTACTTTGTAAGTTTGTAACATTAATGATGTCAGAATTCATGTTTTCAGATTTCAGTGACGATTGCATACTTATATGTCCAGTTTACATGATGATGTCGTGGAAGTGATGTTTACTTACTGTAACCATCATAGAGACTAGAGAATAAAAGTTTAGGCAAGGGCCCCGTAGATTTGTGCTTTCTTAGGGTGGAAATTGTGCTTTCTTGGAATGGAAGTCCTTGGTTCTTTAGAAAAATGAGAAAGTTACCGGTAGAGAGTAAAGTGCTCGACGTTGTTGTAGTGTATTCATTATTGAACAGAAAACATATGACTCTCTGAGCACAATATGCCTCTTTTATGGAAGCAAAATTCCCAGTCAAAAGTTTAGGGGCTTTAGATTTTGCTCCACTTCAAGTTCTTGAGTTGTCAATTCTTGCTGTTCTTTAAATTTTCATTGATACAAACAGTTTCAAAAAGAAAAAGTGAGAGTGGAGAGAAAATATGAGAAGTTTGTGGTGTTTTATAGGCATTTGAACTATATTCGAAGTTCAATGCTGAGTTCTCTATGCTACCTACGAGTGTTTTAGCCCAACTGTTAGATCTTCTATTTTCAATTTCATCCGTTCATTTTTCGTATCACTTGTACCATTTGAAGAAACATCACAGATTATCAGAAAAATGTAAATTTTCGGGAAATAACGTGTCAAGGCTAAGGCTTTTGCCAAAGTGGGCTCCTTTTCCATGTGTTGCTGGATTGAGCATACTGTTTTCTTTTTCCCTTCTCCATTGGATGCAGTCCAGTCTTCCAAATGTCCTTCGAGTTCAATATATGGTGTTTGCGTCAGCTTCTCTCTCCACAAGGTAAAAGCGAAATGTTATACACTCGGTTGCATGTAAGTTTCAGCCCTGAAGAGGAATCTGGGGTCTGGTATTCATAATCATTCAGAACATTTGTTCAACTTAATAGTCCAATCCTCATTATCTCAGTTCAGTAAACAAAGGATGTCATCTCCTCCCAATTTGGCCACAAATCATATTTTGTGGCGAGGCAGGATGTTACTTGGCATGTAATTGAACACCAAGAGACTCGTTTGGAACGACTTCTTTCAAAGTACTTCTGCTTAAAAGCACTTTCAATAAAAAGAATTTTTAATAAAAATGCAAGAGCGTGCTTTTTCCAAAAAGCACTTCAAATACTTTTTTAAACTCAAGTGCACTTGTAACTTTTTTATGTTATGCATGGTCAAATGTGTTTTTAGCGATCTGAAAGCGCTTTTAGTTATTTAAAAAGTACTTCCAAACATGCCGAAGCCTTTACGTTTCACGTTCTCATTGGATATTCAAGATCATAGATGAAGTCCGCCCATGAATAATCATTTGCAAATCATTCGTATCAAGTAAACTTAGTGTTTTTGCACTTGTAATAAGATCGAACTAGGACATTTAAGTTCACAGGGTCGTATTTTCTAGGACAATATAAGGGTTTTTTCCCTCCTTGGAATAAGTAGGCTTGACATTCATTTCCAATGGAAACATAACCATGATCCATGAAGCTATATAGTTTTGTATGCTTAGTCACATTCTGCATAGTAGGCTGTGGGGGATCTAATAAAGTCATAGGACCAAAATGTTGGTTTATTAACGCACTTCATGTGTAACATGTGATGGCAGATATGTATCATATAAATACTATCTAAAACAATTTAATACCAACCAATATCATAATTCATCAAACTTTAAGCAACACCTCCCCAACCATCTTTTTCTCTTTTTCCCCTCTTGGTTTATCTGCTTAAGCTTTAACAGGTATTACTTACTTTCCACTTAAGTTTTAACCTGCCACTAGCACTACAGTTTACTGATTTTTTTTTTCTTCACTTGTAAGTGGAAGGTTTAAGTTCGACCTCCATATATGGCAAGTTCAATACCAAATTATTGTTGACTCATTGTGTGTCTAGGCCAACTCCCTAGCTCTAATATCGTTAATACTGCATGATATTGCACAAGCAATCTATATCACATTTAAACTCATAATCTTTTTCAACAAAGTAAAGACGGAATGTTAGAATTAAATAATCTTATGTTCCATAGGTTACAAGAAAGAGCAAAGAGCAGGTAGCAGAGACTTCTTCTCAGTCTTTAATTCGATGCTAAAGGAAGCTTTTGCTTTGACTTGAATTCACCACAATCACAATCCCTACCAAATGGTCTTCATATTTTTCACCAGGCCATATCAAATGGTCAATCCCTTTGACAAGTTATCCATGTTCTTCGTCTAAGAACAAATCTGACTTTTACCTAGCAAAGTGCTTTCGGTTTCAGCCGTTCTGTATTTTCTTTCTTGTCTTTAAAGCAAACAAAATTAGGTAGGAAAAAAAATGGGCAATTTCTTTATCTCGTTTTGGTCAGTGACTATTTCATTTAACAAAGTCCAAACAGACATAGTACAATGACCATGCAAAGGCGGTCTAACAAAGAAGTCGAAAAATGACTAAAATACAGATAAGACACCACTTACACAAGTGAGGGATGAGAGGTACAGAAACATCAAATGAAGCCTGAAATTGGTTTGCAATGCTTTGTGAAAAGCATATAAGCAAGACAGGGAAGCCATGGAAAGTAGCGCTACCATGTCAGCTGACCCACATCAAACACTTCTCTCCTCTTCACATATAAAAGGGCCCATCAAAACCAAATGCATGGCCAGATCAAAATCTACAAATAGTCTTTCTCTCTCCCTCTCTCTTTCTCTCTTCTTTCTCTCTCTCTCTCTTTCTCCGTCTCGGTGGTTCAGATGTGTCACAAGGTGTTGAGGGGAATGCTGTCTGGTTCGAGACCATTCCTTTGAAGCAAAGAACATGAACATCGAATGATTTCGGACCAGGCTTCATTCCCCCCAACACAAAATGCAGTACGTTCCTACTCATGGCAATTGATCAGTTAGATACACCCTTTTATGCATCGCTGATCAATGTATGAATTTTGAGCATTTTCGACGATGTAGCTGCTTGTTCCATATCATCGATCATGTAAGCATACAGCATATCATTCTCATTAATTATCGTTCTATGCATATTTTCTCCATTCATTGATTTGCAGCCATAAGTGAGAACACTGTACTTGAAGAAGAAGACCGGTCCGGGCAGGTATGTATTACTGGACTTAAGTCTGTACTTTAGAGCAAATCCAACCATGGAAACCCTGGTTTTAGCGACGAATATATAATATTAAGGCACGACTACTTTATTATGGTTTACATTGCCAGCAGAGTGTAGCATTTGATGACATGAGAATTATTAAATTGTACATTTGCTTGTTAGAACATTATTCATTAATTATTGTTAGGCAAGATTAGAGCTGCAGGATCAATATCTTCTCCTGCTACGTCTATTTATTTATTTATTTGCTACAAGCGGTAGTGAGGAGGGGAGAATCAAGCCTAGGACCTCAAAGTTCAGAGCTTCGTAACCCCTCGAGCCTCCTGCTACGTCTAAATGTTTGAAAACTTGGATACTATTTCAGCTGTTTTTTTTTTTTTTTCTTTTCCAAATGCAATCCTTCTGCATATTTTATATGTTTCTACCAAATCCGTTGAAAAAAAAGTGCGTGTGTGTGAAAATATGACTGAAAAGGAAGAAACAAAAAACAAAGTTATATGCATGTTTTTTCATCTTTAAGCAGTTGAACTTTATTTTTCTTTCTTCCAATTTGGCTTTTGCTTGTAGGGAGTTACAAAGAATATAAGCCAAGTAAGAGCTTTAGTGTTCACTTTATCATGTGTTGCATGAGATGAAAGAGTAAACAGCAAAGATATATGAGCTTTGAATTCACTCCTTTTTTCACCTTGTGACTGCCATCATCACCCCACCTCCCTCATAGTCTTTGTGCCTTACCCCATACATATACATATACATATATATATATATATATATATATATATTCTTCACTTTTCATAAAACCGTGTGGGTCATCAGATCCCATTTCTGCATAGAAAATCTACATTCAACTGATTCTTATGGATGTTTCCGAACTAATGATTATTTGGTCTAGTGATACTTTGTTGTAGTGAAAAAAGTTCTAAATTCAAATTTCGTGAGAATAATTGTTGATGGACGTAAAATAATAATGACAACTAATTGTTCTTTGGTAGAGTTCCACCATATTTGGGCCAGGGTTCGCGTCTCGACATACAAGTAAGGGCAAGAAAGCATGAAGTGGGCTAGGATTAAGACAAAAAGATGGTATCAACGATAGAACAAAGACATTATTAAACATCAACACTAACATAACTTCAACGGTACAACAAAGACGTCATAAAACAACAAAAGCACCAAGCACAATAACGCAATAAAAGCAACGATTCCAAAGGGCGAAATTGTAAGAATGCTCTTTAATCAAGTGAACAAAATCTAAAACAATCAAAATACTATAAATACCTATAAGCCAAAATAAGTACTTATCGACACTACCTAAAACATCACCCTCATCAAACTTATCACATCTAGCTAATAAAAAAAATGTAAAACAAAGAGCAAATGAATAACTATTATAAGCTCTTGTCCATACCATGTGGTTTCTTTTAATACCCTCAGAAGTCCTAGTACAAGATTTAAAAGCCATACTCATGAAACTGTACTGATATGTTTCTGAAAGTGGATTAACTCATATTCGAAGATTTGGCCTGGAAGGAACCTTATCAGATATACTGTGAAAACAATAATTTGCAATAGTATCAAAATGCTCCATCATACAAAATTGTCAAACAAAAAAGTACTTGCACCTGACAGATTAATTCGTAAAAGTATTAAATATAAGACATATTGTGTATAATACACTTCACACGGATTGTG